GAAAGACATTTCAGAGAATGAAAAGTTACCTGCTGAGAGAATATTTACAAAATGCAACTCTTGATAAAGGACTGATATCCAAAATTGTAAAAAGAAGTCCCCAAACCCAACAGTAATAGAATACACAATCCAACTAAAACATGGGCAAAAGGTCTGAAGCTCACCAAAGAAGATATTCAAATGTCAAATAAGCCTATGACAACACATTCAACAGCATACATCATTAGGGGATCGGAAATGAAAGCAACATTTAGATACCACCATACATCCATTTGAATGGCTAAAATCAAAAACACTGACAACACCGAATGCTGGTGAAGATGTGGGAAAACAGGAACTCTGTGATTCATAGCTCTTAGAAATGCAAAATGGTACCACTGCTTTGAAAGAGAGCCTGGCAGTTTCTCATAACACCAAACTCTCTCTTACCATATGATCTAGCAATTCCATGTGTTCCTGTTTATTTACCCAAACAAGGTAAAAAGTTATGTCCACACAAAAATCTGCACATGAGTGTTCATAGCACTTTTTAAATAATTGCCAAAACTTAGAAACTACCAAGATGTCTGTGATATTGTGATTTATAAGAAGAAATATATATTTGGTCTTTGTCCCCATTCCTGACACAGAACTCCTAAAACCCTTGGAATTTCCTAAACACTGAAGGCCACAAAGGTATCTTCTGTCGTGTTAATGAGGTGACTTTTGAAAAGCTGCTCCATTGCCTATGGATGCTGGCTAGCTGCCAAGGGAACCAATCCTGTTATTAGAGTATTGGAACTATTAAGCCCTACCCCTGACCTCCAGGGAGGGGAGGGGGCTGAAGATTGAGTTCAATCACCAGTGACCAATGATTCAATCAATTGTGCCTATGTAATGAAGCCTCCATAAAAACCCCAATGGGGGTTTGGAGAGCTTCAAGGCTGGTGAACAAGTGGAGATTTGGAGAGAATGGCACCAGGAGAGGGCGTGGAAGCTCCGTATCCCTTCCCCAGACCTTGCCTCAGGCATCTCTCTCATCTGGTTGTTTCTGAGTTATATCCTTTTATAACAAACCAGTGATTTAGCAAGTCAAATGTGTATCTGAGTTCTGCGAGCTGCTCTAACACAGTAATCAAACCCAAGGATGGGGCTCCCTAGAATTTCTGATCTATAGCTGTTGATCAGGTGACAACCTAGAGTTACAAGTGGCAAGTGAAGTGGGGCAGTCTTGTAGGACTGAGCCCTTCGTCTGTGGGGTCTAATGTTGTCCCCAGATAAATAGTATCAGAACTGAGTTAATTGCTTGGTGGTGCTGGAAAACCCGTGTGTCAGAAACGGGTGCATCTTAATGTCCTTTGATAGGTACATCCAGACAAAGGAATACTAGTCAGTGATTTTTTTTTTTTTTTTTAAGAGAGCTATAGGGGCACCTGGGTAGCTTGGTTGAGCAACTGACTCGTGGTTTTGGCTCAGGTCATGATCTCAGGGTCCTGAGCCTGAGCCCCTCATCTGGCTCCACACTCAGCGGGAAGTCTGCTTGAGATTCTCTCCCTCTCCCTCTGCCCCTCCCTCTAGCTCTCTCTCAAATAAATAAATAAATAAATCTAAAAAAAAAAAAAAGAATTTCCCCAACTGACGATTTCCCCAAAGAAATGAAAATTCACAGATAAGTTCTGTGAAACCCAAGGAGAATCAGCACAAAGAAACAACTGGTTTGCATCCTACTAAAACTGCCCAGACACAAAGACAAAAAGCAAATGCTACAAGCCGCCAGAGGGAAAAAGTTACATTTCCACACTACATGCCTAAAAGCCACTCTGAGACTGACAACCGACGTCCAATGGGCTCACGTATTTAATCCGCCGAAAGAAAAGACCGTCCACCCTGGAACTCCAGACCCAGCAAAAATGTCATTTGAAAGCGAAGGCAAAGTAAAGACATTTTCCAGAAAAACAAGAACAGAGGCAATTGTATCAAAGTGCAAAATTCTCAAGGCAGGTTTTCAGACAGAAAAAAAAAATGATCCCAGATGAAAGTAAGAAAATGCAGGAAAGAAAGATCAGCAGAAAGAGAAATATGAGATTTATATAAATAAATATTGGCTATATAAAATAACGATGTCTCATGGGGTTTTAAATATATGTAGAATTAAAATATATGACAATAATAGCACAAAAGGGGAGGGGAGGCGTAATAATAAAATAAGATAAAGCTCGTAAGCTAAAAATGAAGAAAATGGAATAACATAAAACAGTTGATAGTCTAAGACAAGAAAGCCTAGAAAAACCATCATATGAGAGGCGGACCAGATGGAAAACAAATAGTAAGATTGTAGAAATGCATTTAAATGTATCAATAATTTCCTTAGGTAAATGGAGAAAATTAAGAAAAATTGTCATGTTGGATTTATAAACAGATGAAAAGACAAAAACAATAACCCAACAACAACAGCCTATTGCCTGCAAGAGATACAAGTATGAGAACAGAAAGGTAGACAGGAAAGGAAACAATGTATCCCGGGACCACTGACTAACCAATGGAAACCAGATGTCATTGCAGGGAGGTCAGTTCAAGCAGAAGACTAAAGGGAGCATCTCTTAAGGATACATGGGTCATTCTGCAGGAAGTTTGGACAATTCTAGATGTGAGTGCGGCTGACTATTAAAACCTCAAAGTACGAAAGAGAAACCTGGCCAGCCACAAAAGAAGTCATGGGCGTGTTCTACACCCACAGCTGGGATGCTTGCATGCCTCTCTCAAGAGCCGATTTGCACGGCCTTGGTTATTAGAAGATGGAAATTGATTTGTGTTCTTGCTTTCTTGTGATTGAATGGGGAACCAACTGTTTTTGTATTTTGTCTGTTTTCCCACTGGAATGTTGCCTTTTTGCTTATTGAGATGTGAGCCTCCTCTAAGATTTGCTTTATAATATACATTCTGTTTCCTGCCAACATTTGTCTTTTTATTTTGTTTATGAGTTTTGTGGGTTTTTTTTTAAAGATTTTATTTGTCAGACAGAGAGCGCGCACAAGCAGGGGGAGCGGCAGACAGAGGGAGAGGGAGAAGGAGACTCTCCGCTGAGCAAGGAGACCAATTCGGGACTCGATCCCAGGACCCTAGGATTATGATCTGAGCTGAAGGCAGACACATAACCTACTGAGCCACACAGGTGTCCCATGAGTTTTGTAGGTTTTATGAAATGAAATCTTCTCATCATTTTATGTGGTCTATTCCATTGCTTTCATTCTTCAAATCTGCAAGAGTGGGTCTTAATATATTTATTTTTCCTTAGGTGGGATATTCTAATGAGTCTTAGAAGATTGACGGTGTAGCTTCAAAAATATTTACCTCGTTTAAATAGAATCCTTTCAAACTATCCTGAAATTGTACATGGGAATTTTAAAGGTAGTCTTTCTAACAAGAATGATCTCCCTTCCAAATCTTTGACAAATATTTATTGAGCGTCTGCTAAGTGTCAGGGGCAGGTTCCAGGAGCTGGGATAACGCACTGATTACACAGACCCTCCCTTCACATAGTTTGCAGTCTGGTGGGAAGAAGGAGGCAGTAAACAAATACACAAATAAATACGGGTGTCATGCAACACAGGGAAATGAAGCAGGACAGGGTGACTCAGATGACCTCTGGCCCAGCCTTGATCACAGGCAGACACCTGCGGTGGCCATCAGCTCCTCCCACAAGCTACATCTGAATCTTCTCCATCCTTCTACAGTGTAATTATTGGTAGACGCTCTGAATTCCCCCTGGGACCTCCATAAATCAGGATCAAATTTTGTATCAAACCATACCCTCCATGCCTTCCCCAGTCACAAGTTAGATTTTCAATGAGGGGTAGTTCATTTGCATTGATGGGAACAATTTTTTGGAGAAAAAAAAAAAAGCTTGTCTCGAAGATTAAACTTTAAATTAAAAAAATAGTGGGCATGAGTAACACGTGGCCCATAAAAGTCTACCAAACCTAGATTGCTCTAACAGCTAGGAAATGCTCAGACCTCGAGGACTGTTCAGGAGGCACATGGGCATCTTGAAATTGTTATGTAAAGCTTCTGTTTCTTTTTAAGATTTATTTATTTTTTTATTTGGGGGGGGGCAGGGCAGAGGGAGAGGAATCTCAAGCAGACTCCATGCCCAGTGTGGAGCCCAATTCCGGGCTCGATCCTAGGACCCTGAGATCATGACCTGAGCCAAAATCAAGAGTCGGACACTTAACCCACGGAACCACCCAGGCACTATGAAAAGCTTCTAAGGCCTGGCTCCCTTCCCAGAAATTCTGGTAAAAGTAACTGGGGCAGGGCCTGGGCATCGGTGTATTTTCAACACTCCCCAGGTATGTCTGGGGTGCAGCCAGGTTGAACACCATGAGGCTAGTGCCAAGATCCCACTGTTAATTGTCATGACACACGACATTGCATGCTACAATGGTCTCATGGGTTGTGACGACTCCCATGTGTAACCGCTCTAGTTGCAACACCCAAGTATTTCTTCCCCACTGGAAAATGCCCATCTGTGCACAAGATGGGCAGAAACCTGGTGCCATTTGGCTAGATATTTTACCGATAATTGCTTGCAACACATCTCTTGCAAATGACGCATCTTGGTATCTGCTAAGAATACTGATCTAGGCGGCGAGGACTTCTGGGCTTTATTTTTAATTTGGTTTACTGGTCCATCATCCATTCCTCATGACAGAGCAGTTACACTGGCACAGAGGGTGGTCAAGGGACGATCACCTGGATTCACTTTTAACAGGAGCAGAAACAAGACTTCTTGGCTTATCAGGATCCTCCAGGCCGGGTGCCCTGCTTCCTTCTTTCTGGGATTAGGCAGGTGGACGGAAAATTAAATGGAGTGTTGCTCCAGCCTCCCTCAAGGGGTGCCCTGATGGCGACACAAGTACCGCATAGCCTGCGACCAGCACGGCACGCGGGGCCCTGCCCCAGGCCCAGGCAGGGCTCGGAGACTCCCAGGGGCCCATACCCAACATGCCTGGTTGACTTACAAAGAAAGGAATCAGGCCCTCTGCTTTGTCTCTCTCCAGGGCCTCCTGCAGGGCAGAAGCACGCATGGCAAACTTGCCATCTGAAGGGATGGCTTTTATTTTCACTCCTCCAATTAATCCGGCTCTTTCCACCGAGGAGTGTGCCTGGAAGGAAGGCATCGGAGTTAGATTCTTTTTTTTTTTTAAAAGATTTTATTTATTTATTTGACAGAGAGGGAGATACAGTGAGAGAGGGAACACAGCCGGGGAAGAGGGAGAGGGAGAAGCAGGCTCCCCGCCGAGCAGGGAGCCCGATGCGGGGCTCGATCCCAGGACTCTGGGATCATGACCTGAGCTGA